CTGCGGGCTTGCTATCCTGGTTAGGTCCTGGCTATGGCTCCACGCCCCGCCCGACCGAACTTTGATTTTTCCCCACCGAGCTGCTGCAGGCATTGTGCACCCTTCTGGGGGTCCGCCCATCCTCCTCACTTGTTTCAATATAAGGAATTCCGCGGGACTCGACGAGGTCAACTTGGACTTGTTGGGGACGTTTGGATCTACATAGCCGGGTCGCGGCCTTCCCTCTTTGTTGGGGCTGACAGAAAACATCGAGCCCCGACTTGCTTTGGCACAGGCGACCCTTGGAGATGCGACTACTTCATTATCCCGGGCAGCCTCGCGAAAGCCGTGCAGTTCGTAGCGGTGGCCCACCAGTCGTCCACATTCGTGCCACACGTCCCAGTCAGGGTTATGTTTTCTTGCAAGGTTCGCCCAGCTCCACGTGTTGTCGTTTCGTGAGCCCCCTCCCGATCGCTGTGGGTGCCCCGATCGGCCCCATGCCCGAACGCCCGTCTTACGAGCGGTGCAAGTCACTGGTGGGGCAGGCCTTTGCTAGAGCCCAGAAGGGGGGAGTGTTACGTTTTGGAGTGTCTGTATCAGCAGCGGGCTAAGACGTCAGAGAAGGATTTGTGCAATGCCATGGGCCTGTTTATCCCCATTTATGAGACACGCGGGAAGGGGCGACCCTGTTTCGGCGTATTGTTGTGGGACATGGTCGCGGCGCCCTTCTGTCCTTTTTCTCAGTGCAGTGCCGTTTTTAATACATGCTCCGCGTGCGGATCATGTATTAAACATGCAGGGATTCAGTACTAAAAACAACGATGAGTTCATGCATACATTCATTCATGAAGTAATCATGTATGCACAATCCTATATATTTTAGAAATCCTATGTATTAAAAACTGCCCTGTATGCAGCCTCTGAGCCCTAAGTGTCACGCCTTCCCCAGTCTGATAAAGGCGCCAGGCTCTTCCCCCGCGTTCGCTGCTGTGGTCAGAGCCCTCACCGAACCACCGTCTGCTGTTTGTGCCCACCCAACTGTGCGCGCTGCTTTTTTTTACGAGGTGGCCTTGTCGACGCGAACGTGGCCCAATCCTCGGGGCCCCAGCTTGTGCCTCTGTGGCATCGGCCAGAAGATCCAGGGCGATTTCAAGGGGTGCGTTACGGCTTTCGCTGGCCAAGCTCGCAAATATTGGTCGCATTGGCTTCTGACGGTATACACCAAAGGGCCCGTATGGCCCATCAGATTTCCAAGGGCCCCGCGGCCTGGAGGCCCACCAGCCCTTTATGTAGGTTTGGTTCCCTGGTGCCCGACCCCCCGGTGCTGCTGCGTTCGGGGCGGGGCAAGTTCGGGGCCCCCTGGAGGGCCCAGGAAGATCCTGACCGCCTCAAGCACGTCTGCACGAAACCTTTTCCTCGCACCTCCTCCGACGACGTGAGAAAGATCCCCGGGTCTTTTCTCGAGGCGTTCGGCGGTGGCTTCGGGCGGTTCCCGCAGGAGGCACTACGAGTCTCACGCATCCCTGAAGCGCCTGGCGCAAATTTCATTCGTCGCGGCCCTTCTCCCCAAGTAGCGAGGAGGAGGAGGAGGAGGAGGAGGAGAAGGAGGAGGCGGAGGAGCTGGAGGAGGAGGAGGAGGAGAAGGAGGAGAAGGAGGAAGAGTAGGAGGAGGAGTGAGAGGAGGAGGAGGAGGAGGAGGAGGAGGAGGAGGAGGAGGAGAGGAGGAGGAGGAGGAGGAGGAGGAGGAGGAAGGAGGAGGAAGGAGGAGGAGGAGGAGGAGGAGGAGGAGGAGGAGGAGGAGGAGGAGAGGAGGAGGAGGAGGAGGAGGAGGAGGAGGAGGAGGGCGAGGAGGAGGAGGAGAAGGAGGAGGAGGAGGAGAAGGAGGAGCGAGGAGGAGGAGGAGGAGCGAGGAGGAGGAGGAGGAGGAGGAGAGCCAGGATGAGGAGGAGGAGGCGGAGGAGACCTGGGAGGACGACGAGGAGGCGGACCGTCCCCCGCTGTGACGCCGCCGAGGACCCAGACCAGGTGTCGAAGGACGAGTTCTCGGTGCTCGCCATCGCGTACCACACGCTGGCCGTGGAGAGGCCTCCGCCTCCCTCCTCCTCCTGCTCCTCCCTCCTCCTCCGCCTCTTCCTTCATCCTCTTCCCTCCTCCTCCTCCTCCTCCTCCTCCTCCTCCTCCTCCTCCTCCCTCCTCCTACTCCTCCTCCTCCCACCTACTTCCGCCGCCCGCCCGCCCGCTGCGTGGCGCGGGCGCTGTGCTCACCGAGTGGTCCTCCCTGCGACCACGGGGCCAAACGGGTATTGCGGGGGCAGCCCGTAAAGAGGGGGGGCGAAGGGCTTCGAGGTTCGTGGCTCTCGGGTGGCGTCGTCGGTCCCCGGCTGTTTCTCGGGGTCGGGATGCCTCTAGCGGCCGCGCCACGCCGAGAGCGTTCCAGTGGTACCCGAGTTGTCCCGAACGGCAGGCGGCAAGCCGTCCTATGACCCGAAGGCCAGAGAGCAACGATAGGGGGATCGGGTGAATGGTATCGACCCCCGATTGCCTTTTCAACGCCGATGGGGGTCTGATGGCCCAATCCGCCAAGGATTCACGGTTCCGCTATCAGGGGCTCCCGACAATCTATCGGCGACCGATCGCCGATCTCCAGGTGATGTCCCAACCCCCCCAAGGCGATGGAGGATCGCATGTTTTCCTCCGCGGCCGCCGCCCGCGTCGTCGTCGTCGTCGCCGCCGCCGCCGTCGTTGCCGCCGTCGTCGTCGTCGCCGTCGTGATCGTCGTCGTCGTCGTCGTTTGTCGCCGTCGTCGGCGGTGGCATCGATGCCTCTTTCCGAGAGGCCACCGGACGCAGCCGCACCGATCTGCGGAAAGGGCCCAGGCGGGAGCAGTCAGTGGTCCGCTCCTGCTCCTCTCTGGACGCCCGACATGGGTACGGAAAGAATGGGTACAATGCCCAACAGCAGTTCCTGTTCATTCTGAACAGGATTCGCTGTCCACGCCGCCGCGGCCTGTGTCCATTCGAGACAGAAGGCCGCCTGCCCAACAGCGGCCGCTGTTGGTTTGGGACAACATTTGTTGTTGGGCATTGTGCCCATTTTTTCCGTACCCAGTTCGGGCGTGCAAACACGAGGCTCCGAGGGCAGGCTGCTCGTGCTGCTCCCGCTGCCGCTCCTCCTCCACCCTCCCCCCGCCAGGGCGAAATCGCCGTGTGGCGCCGTGCGGGGCCTCGGCTCTGCCTGGGGGTGGGTGCTTTCGCCGGCTGTCTCTGCCGTTGCTGTTTGGTTCAGCGAAGGTCGGGACGACCGACATGGGCACGGAAAGAATGGGTGCAAAGACTGACAGCAGTTCCTGTTCATTTTGAACAGGATTCGCTGTCGGCGTCGCCGCGGATCGTGTCGATTTGAAACAGAAGGCCGCCTGCGCAACAGCGGCCGCTGTCGGTTTGGGACAACATTTGTTGTTGGCCATTGTACCCATTCTTTAGGGTTTCACGGAGTCCCCCAGGAGGGTTTTTGGTTCAGCGAAGGGTTTCTGGTTCAGCGAAGGGTTCAGCGAAGGGTTTTTTGGTTCAGCGAAGCATTTTTGGTTCAGCGAAAGGTTCACGGAGTCCCCCAGGAGGGTTTTTCGTTCAGCGAAGGGTTTTTGGTTCAGCGAAGGGTTTCTGGTTCCGCGAAGGGTTTTGGTTCAGCGAAGGGTCGAGCCTCCGAGACTGTCCAGGAGCTTCCCCAAGACGAGTGTCCGGAGCTGTCCATGTCCGCGCCCTTCCCTCCCCCCCCTTCGTTCCCTGGCCGTCGGCCTCGTGTGCCTCCTTCTGCCCGCGCTCGCCATCATCCGAGGCCCGAAAACCATCACGTCACGAATTTTGAGCCCCAGGGCTCACTGAGGCCCCAGGGGCCCCAGATTAGTGAAGTGATGTTGTTTCCCACGTAACGACCCCGAAATTCATCACTTCACTAAGCCGAGCCCAGGACGAAAGTCAGGGGCCGAATTGCTGCTGTGATGCAGCATAGGTCTCGTACATAATACTCCTCCCGCTCCTGCTCCTCCCCCGCAGGCGGGCCTCTGAACCGCACACCAGCTTGCCGCTGACCTCTGAACCGAGCCCCCCCAGCATGTCGGCCGCTCAGGGATGGAGTCGAGACAAGAAGACTTCGGAACACACTCCCGAGCGAGGATCGCTTAGGGATGGATGCCGACGGCACTCGTGCCTCACGCACGGTCAAACCTATGTAGGGGTCCCGTCATACGACTCCCTGGAGGTTGATTTCGCATCGGCGATGGTGAATCCGTGGTCGGAAACAGGCCTAATCCGTTTCATCCCGTCATCCCGCTGAATCCCGGGCCGAGTCAGGCCCCTTCATTTGGCCGAGTGTCCCCTTCATGGCCGAATCCTGATCTGGTTCAATGGCTCCTTCTTCATCTGACCGACTGGCCCTTAATTTCGGTGTTCGATCATGGACCCCTTGTTGAATGCAACCATCTCGCTTTCGTACCGAAGACCGCTGGAAACCGGTGGAAACCGCCGAAGACTCTCAGAAGACCGCCGACGACCGCCGACAACCGTCTGAAAACTGCTGGAGACCATAACGATAGACATCACGGGGTCCATGGTCGAACACGTAACTTGCCTATTTCCTTATCCTCCCTCTCCACCTCCCTTCTTTCCCTTCCCTCCCTCCTCTCCCTCCCCTGGCGTGCCTGGACCGTGCACCATTGCACGGCTGGGACACGTAGCATTCTGAAGCCCCCGAGCTTGCACCAGTGCAATCGGGCCAGGGGACCCCGTACAGTAGGGCGGTTCCATGAAAGTCGAGGTTTGTTGGCGCTGCTTGCGATGCTGCAGTCGAACTTTTTCGTCGGCGGCGAGGCAGAGGTAAGCTGCACCAGCGGTCAAGCAATGCGGGGCTGCCGAAGAGCGCATTTGTCCAGCATGCAAGAGGCAAGAATGAGACAGACAGAGCGGCCGCGGAGGCGGGGGAGGAGGCGGGGGGCACTCAGAGGTGGAAGACTTCGTCCAGAGCGTGCTGCGGTCGAACACGTCATTTACTCTTTCTTTTGGGAGCCTCCCAGGTGTTGCTCCTTACCTCTTACCCCCCCACCTCGCGCGCGGCCCCCGGCTGCTGCTGCCCGCTGCCCGCGCCCGGGGCCCTCATTCCCGGCCCGAGCTTCCGCGTCCGCGCGGCCGCGCCCGTCCAGGGAGTGCCTGCAGCAGTTCGAGAAGGCCGCGGAGGCGTTCAAGAAAGGCCACGAGGCCGCTCGCTGCCCCGTGGCTCGAGGCTCGAGGTTTTCCGACGTCTTCGCCTGCACTCAGCGGTTTCCAGGCCTCGGGGTGCCCTCCAGCGGCCGCGCCTCGCCGAGAGCGTTCCAGGGCTGCCCGGGGCGGCCCGAAGGGCCGCCGGAGAGCGAGAGTTGGCCCGAAAGCCAGGGGCAACGGCAGGGGCGGCTGGGCGCTCAAGAAGGGCCACCCATGCCGCCCGCTGCCCGAGGGTAGGGGCCCGGGGGCAGTGGCGAGTCGAGGGACGCAGGGGGGCAACGTAGGCAAGTCGTTGGATCTTCTGTCGCGTAGCCAGCGCTATCTGGGCCAATCCCCCCCCCCACCCACCCCACCAGGTAGCGGCGCACGGCAGGGGAAGGGGCCTGACCCCCGCCCGTATTCTGGTGCCCGCGCGCACGCTACGACGATCGCAGCGCACCGCCGCCCCGAGACGCCCCACCCTGCTCGAGTGTTCCCTTTACCTGGGGCGCCAGCCCCCCCTCCCGATAATGACCAGACAAGATCTGAGGGGACATGGGCTCAGGAGGGACGCATCGAACCGCCAGGGTCCATGGATCTCCGACAGGGGCCGGGTAGTCCATCCCGCCCCAAACCGTGCGGTTCCGCTATGGGGTGCTTCGGGCTGATCTATTGGCGATGTATCGCCGATTCCAGGGCAATGTTAGGAGTGGGAGGAAGAGGGGGCGGGGAGGAGGGTGGAGAGGATCCCCGCTGTGCTGTCATTCCCCTGTCGTCTCCTGCACCTCCAGGTTCGCATGCTCTGGGACGCACCGTTCTCGTGGCGTGCCCCAACACCCAAATCCAGGTTCACATAGTGTAGCCTAGCCTGAATGCTGCTTCCCCCCACTCCTCCCCTGGCGAGGGTCGAGGAGGGTAGGATCACCGAGGGCATGGCGGTACCACCAGAACTAACCAGCAGTCCAAGGTCCAGGGTGGAGGAGGTGAAAACAGGGGGGGAGAGGACTTTCGGTAAGAGTACGCATAATAATGTGTGGATAGGCGGTGCACCTTTCTTGATCCCTGAAGGTTGCTGAAGGGTGAGGATGTGAGTTGTGACGGTCACTGCGTAAAGGATGCGGATCCCGAGCAGAGGAACGACTACGGACCACGACGACGACGCCGACAACGGCGACGACGGAGACGAGGCGCGCCCACGATCCGCACCAGACATTTGGGAAAGGGCCCATTATGCGAGGTTGGTACACAGCACATCGGTGAGCGATGTTGCGCCCCCTCGTCAGCAAAGGCCTCTCAGGGGGAGGGGGAAGAAGAGGAGGGGGGCGAGAAGGAGGAGGAGGGGGCGAAGGAGGAGGAGGAGGAGGAGGAGGAGGATGTGGCGCAAGTCGTCTGATGACAGGGTGAACCTCGTGCACTGAAAAACATCTGGTGGGTCGCCAGACAAGTCGTTCTCGACTCCTCGGTGGCCCTAGCGGCCCCATGCGGTCCCAATGAACGGACCCAAGACAAGCCCGCGCTCGATAGGACGTAGCATGCGAGGAACTCTCCGCTCAGATCCTCCTGATGCGGCGCTGCAGGCAACCCCGTGCGTGCGGCAGCTGGACCGCGAACAGCGCCTGACGAGGAGGTACCGTTCTGTTCAAGCGCCTTCCTGGACAGCAGTGGGCCAAGCCGGAGCCGTAATCCTTCTGTGTCTTACGGTAGGAAGGAATTTGACGCAGATGGGTGCGATGCAGCTGGTCGCAGTACCTCGTGCTTGCGCCGGTATCCCTGGCACCAACCCCGCGCCGCTTCCCCAGGGGCAAGGGCAGAGGCAGGAACGCCGAAGCGGTGGCAAGGAGTGATGCAATGTCCTGGGGATTGCCGCGCTGGGGCGTACAACAAACGCGTGCGATGGAGGCATCGCCACATCACACAACATGAAGATGACCCAGTCCCTGCCCTCGCGCGATGGCCGCGGGGCAGTGCTGTCCCCGTGGGCGGCACTCTGTGGCCGTCCGAGACGGCCCGCTCGTGCTGTTGCCCAGCCAGCGCACTGCAGAGCACGTCGGCGGAGAGCAGTCCGCTGAGGTACACGGCAGAGCCGTCAGTTAAGAGCAATTGAGGGAGACGTCAGAGTTGTCATGATGGGCCTCTTTCCCACCACCACCACCACCACCACCACGAGTTGGAGGGGGAGGGGGTCCTCCTCCTCCTCCTTCTCCTCCTCCTCCTCCTACTCCTCCTCCTCCTTTTCGTCCTCCTCTTCCTCGTCCTCCACCTTCTTCCCCCTCCAACTGATGGTGGTGGTGGTGGAAAACAGGCCCATCACGTCAGTGAAGACCCGTCAGAGCCGTCAGTGAAGAGCCGCGGTGTTCACCGCTTCAGAGCCGCCAACCAGCTCGGGCACGTTGAGGAGCACGGCAGAGCAGTCGGTGAAGAGCAGCCCGTTGAGGAAGCAATCGGCCGGCTAGGCCGATCGGTCCACTTCTTCTCTCCAGAGGCAGGCGGCCAGGGTGGGAGTAGCAACGCTGGGTTGGGGAGGATGCCTCTGCCTGCTCCCCCTCCTGCCCCTCCCCTCCCCCCCCCCTTCTCCGCCTTCTCCTCCTCCTCCTCCTCCTCCTCCTCCTCCTCCTCCTCCTCCTTCTTGTTGACGAAGACGACGGCGACGTCGACGACGACGACGACGACGACGATCACGGCCCCCGCCAGCCCCCGAGGTCGCCTGCAGGCACCTCGGCGCGGAGCACCCGCTGGCCATATCGCTGGGGAGCGCCGCCCCCCCCCCCCCCCCACCACTCCGCCCTCGCGGCACGCCGGCGGCGCGTCGGCGGCGCACGTCCGTCTCGCCGTCGCGTGCCTTCCCGGATCCCCGGTTCCGGCGTTTTCCTTCTGTTATGACCGTTTATCGGGCCTCGGGACCAGCGAAATCGACTAAACGTAAGAGTGACCCTTCGCCGGGGACCAGCGAAATCGACTAAACGTAAGAGTGACCCTTCGCCGGAGGGACCTTTCGTGCGGGCCCACTGAGTTTCCCCGATCGCCAGACGCGATGCGGTAGTAGCGTCCTGCGCGCTTGTGTTAAGTCCCTCAGGCGGCCCCCAAAAAGCCGCGCACTGAAGGCCACTCTTGCCAGGGTCACTCTTGCGTGTAGCTGACAAAAGTGGATCCTGGGCGACAAACTCCCCCGGAAAGCAGTAGGGCTGTCTGGGTCCGCGGATTGAGAGCATCATATCGGCGGATGTTCAGGTTCGGCGTCGTTGGTCGTCGACGTCCGGGGCTGCGTCGGCGAGTGGCGTCGGCGTGCATCCGTCGACGTGCGTTGACGTCGTCGACGTCGTTGGTCGTCGGCGTCTGGCGGGCTGCGTCGGCGGGTGGCGTCGGCGTGCCTCTGTCGACGTGCGCTGACGTCATCGACATCGCTGTCGTCGACGGGCGTCGTCGGCGACGTGCGTCGCCGGCGTGGGTCATCGTCGACGTGAATCGTCATCGAGGGCGCCACCATCGATCGAAGATCGAGCTTCATTTTACCACCCCCCAGGGGCTCCGGGGACGTCTCTACAGATCTCCACGGGCCTACCTCGTTTTTGCGTGAGTTTATTTTGGGTTGGCTTCCGAGGACCTCTGGGACGGTTCAGACCTTCAGAGTGATTTGGATCCAGGTCACCCGGCTTAGTCCCGAGTAGAGATGAGGTCGGAGGATCGTGCCGCATCGCCGATGCATCGGCGAAACGTCTGGATCCAGAGACCGCTATTGTCAATCCCGACGTCGTCGATGCTTACCTGCTCTGGCCCCGCTGGAACAACGCAAAGAAACGAGGTCGATTGCGATGTTGTTGGCTTTCCGCCATCTCTCTCTCTCTCTCTCTCTATATATATATGTATATATATGTATATATATACACCTGTGAATGTGTATGTGTTTATGTATTGGCTTGGAATCACCACCCAGAACCAGCGACTTTCTACTTTATACACCGCCGCCCTCCCCGAGGGCACATGCAAAGTTCGTCGCAGGTTGTCTGCGTAAAGATTTTCGTGGCGTAGGCTATCGGGCGTTGAATTCTATACAAATCCATCGCTCACTGACCAGGCCCACTGTGAACCCAGGAGCTGTGCAGACGCTCTCCTGGCCAAACCAGGAGGGCGTGGCGTACACAGCGCTGCTGGGCCCAGGACGGGCCTGGCCAGGGAGCAGTGGATCTGTATGGATTTCGTCTCCCGTAGGCTAATCGCGTGAGGTTGCGCGCAGGCGCCCAGCCTCGTGCGTGGCGTGCCGTGCTGGCGGCCGGCGTACAGCCGGGCCTGATGCGCAGGCCGGCCCTGCAGACTCCAAAAGGTGTCGTTGCGTCATGCCTAGGGCGCCTGTCATCGCTCCCTCGCTCGAGGGCCATCGGAGCGCATCCCGGGCCACGGAGCCAAGAAAGCAGGCACGGAACCGAACCGAGCAAGAGGAATGGCCGTCCGAGCGATGGCAAGCGTGTCTCTGGACGCCCGAAATGGGTACTGAAAGAATGGGTACAATGCCCAACAACAATTCCTGTTCATTTTGAACAGGATTCGCTGTCCGCGCCGCCGCGGCCTGTGTCCATTCGAGACAGGAGGCCGCCCGCCCAACAGCGGCCGCTGTTGGTTTGGGACAACACTTGTTGTTGGGCATTGTACCCATTCTTTCGGTACCCATTTCGGGCGTCCAAAGTGTCGCATGTCTTCTCCACACGGGTTGCCTTCGGAAGAGCCTCGTGTCATCGCCGTGTGTCCCCTGTAACGGCCTGGTGTAGCCACTTTGCCAAGCATCATGTAGCAAGGGTTCCTTGCCTGGGCTGCTTTTTTCGAAGAGGCTCGATCTTTATTAATATACATGTATATATATATGTATCAAATATTGTTTAGCAAGAAGTCCTTGCCAATGGTTCTTCAATACGAAGTTCTGATCATTGATTTGTCAGTAGGGTTCCTCATGTGGAATTCGTGCGTACCCATCGCTAAGAATTCCGTCCCAGGGATTATTGTCGCAAGGATTCTTCAGTAAGGAATCATTGCTGAATACTGCTTCATGCTTAAGGATCCTTCAATGATGAGGATTTCTTACGGGAGATTGTTTAGTAAGGCTTGTTAACTATAGGTTCTCAGGCACGGACTTGTTACGACAGAGCATGTCCTAAGCATCCCGTATCAAGTATTCTTGGATCAGGGTTCAAACAAGAAGCAATCACGTACTCGCAAACAAATCTCGTTTCGTTTGCGCAAGCATTCAAGCCAACGAGGCGAGTCCTCCTCCTGCTGCTTGTAGACAGCGAGAGGTTGTTGATTATAACGTTTCCATTGTTGCTGTGTTGTCGTTGAGGGGGTGGGGTCGCATGGGGCAGGGGCATCGCGGAGGGCCCTCGCCCCCCGCAGGAGGGGGGCTCTGTCCATCCCCCTCATCAAGGGGGCAAAAGGGAAGGTACCTGCTGTTGTCATCGTCCACCCGCCAGCCGCCCCGCGCCCATCCAGCGACCCACCTGGGAGCCACCCGCGACCCACCCGCGACCAACCCCGCGCCCCCCCGTCCTTCTTCCCACACTCCGAAGCTGCGGGGTGCTAGACATTCTCCCTTCTATTCTCACGGGAGGTGGCGGCTTTGTCCGTGCACGAGCAGGGGCCCCCGATCCGCTCCCCGGGGGTAGCCTTTCGTTCTTGCACCATTGGTTGTGCTTCGGGGGCCCGGTGTAAAACGTGCCCCAGGGACGGGAATCTCGGGAGCGGAAAATGATAGGGGGAGGTGACTAGGGGGGGGTGGATATCATGGCGCGGGCCATGATATCTCCCCAGATTTCGTGGCGCCTCTTCTTATTTTATTACGTCCCTGGCCCCCCCGCTGGGCCGCGCACATGCCGCCAGTCATGATTTGCACCCCCCCTCTTGGACACCCCCCTCTTGGCCGCTCCCGAGAGGAAGAGCGCCCGGAGTCACACGAAGCCAGATCGTCGGAGACTTCGGCACCCCCAGCGTTCTCCGATATCATTGCGCAGGCATTTCGGCAGGTGCCGCCGACCCGGAAGGGGGACGACGAATACGACGTCTGCGACGACGACGCTCGCAAGCCCTCGGGGGGCCCTTCTCGGCCCTGTCGGCCTCTATGGGGGGCCGGCCTTTTGAGTCGGCCAGGCGCATCATTTGGCCGTCTTGGGCCCCTCTTGGGCTGGCTTGGGCCGCCTGGAGTGTTCCTTGGGCCATCTTGGGGCGATTTGGGGTTTGGGCACCCCGACGCCCTCCGATGTTATTCTTTCGGCGGAGGCCTGGGCGGCGGCCTCCAGGTCGGTCGATCGGCGAGCTGGTTGGCCGGTCGGGCCGACCACAGCGACCATGCCATGCGTGGTTTCCGTTGTTGCGAAGGCCTTCGAGGAGGCATCCACCAGGAGAGTGTTTTCCAAACCATCCTGTGGTGTTGGGTCCTCGTTTTGAAGAGAGCGCCCCGTGCTCCTCACCCCACCTCCCACGCTCCTCCCCCTCCTCCCTCCTCCCCCTCCTTGTCTCTGCCCTCCGCATGTTTCTGTTTCGGCACGCCCAGCACAGTGTTCCGTGGCCCCAAAGGGAGCTCCACCGAAGGCCCAAGTGGCGCTGTTTCGGCACACCCCTCACGTTTTGTGGCCCCACAGGGAGCTCCACCGAAGGCCCCAGTGGCAGGGTTCGAATGGCGCCACCGCACCCGTGTCGGCACACCCTCACACGTTTCATGGCCCCATAGGGGACTCCACCGAAGGCCCCATTGGCAGGGTTCGACTGGCGCCACCGCACCTGTTTCGGCACACCCCTCACACGTTTCCTGGCCCCACAGGGAGCTCCACCGAAGGCTCCAGGGGCAGGGTCCGCATGGCGCCACCGCACCCGTTTCGGCACATCCCTCACACGTTTCGTGGCCCCATAGGGGACTCCACCGAAGGCCCCAGTGGCAGGGTTCGCATGCCACTGCACACATTTCGGCACGCCCCTCACGTGCCGTGGCCTCATAACTCCACCGAAGGCCCCAGTGGCAGGGTTCGCATGTCGCCACCGCACCCGTTTCGGCACACCTCTCACACGCTTCGTGGCGCCGCAGGGAGCTCCACCGAAGTCCCCAATGGCAGGGTTCGCATGGCGCCACCGCACCCATTTCGGCACACCCCTCAAACGCTCCGTGGCCCCAGAGGGAGCTCCGCTGAAGGCGGGGCTCCCAACTGCGGCGGTACTCTCAATTGCAAATGGTTGTGTCCATCCCCAGGATCATTTTCTTCACGGGTGATAAGGGGCGTTGCCGTGAGAGGGCGAGGTAGGGGGCGGGGCTTGTAACGTCACGTTCCGCGCCGGCGCCGTCTGGGAACGCCTAGGAATAGCCAAGGACCATGCGAACGCCAGCACGGATCTTGACGTTATTATGGGGGGCGGGGGGGGGCCGCCAGGGCAGGTTACGGCCACTATCGCGAAAAATATGTTTTTTTTTCCAGAGGAGGGCCAGTTGAGACAACGGTAACTGGTCTTCGGGACGGCCCATCGTCGCCATGGCTGGGCGCAGCTGGGAAGATTGGTGCGTTTGGGCCCCAGTAAGGTCCAGGGACCGATTTCGAGTTGCCGGTGTCTTAAGTCGGCCTGCTGCGAGTAAATCTTTGGCGGCGCAGTCCGAATCCTACCTTCGCCGATCAACGACTCAGACAACTCGATGGGCGGCTGGAGTGGGGTTCGGAATTTGTCGAACACGTGGCGAGATTCGAACCCCGCCCCCGCCTTTGATCGGTTGAGGAGAACTGATGGTTTGGGGGGTAGGGTTTGGATGTCGCCTTCTCAGTCTGCCACTGAGGGCGAGCAGGGGTTCAGCGCAGCTTCTGGTGGCGCGCGCGGGCGGCGCAGGAGCAACTGCGACGCTGTCCTGGTGAAGTCTCGCAAGCTGGCGAGGGCTCCCGTCAGACCGTACTCCAGCGGAGCCGGCATGAAGGACGGGGACTGGAGGGCAAAACCTACCTGCTTCAAGAAGACCAATTACGGGTCTGTGCCAAGCACCGTTCTCACGTTCTAGCCGCAAGCGTCTGTCGACACGTGGGGTGTTGCTACGTATGTAGACACATTCGGGGTGGATGCGTCTATAGGGAACGCGGTCTTTGCCTCCAGCGCAGTGCAAGGTCGGAGAGATGGCAGATCCGGCTACGTAATATTCCTGGTGTAGGGCAGGTCTCACATGGTACTCCAGGAGGGGGGGGGGGGGCAGCGCCGATCCGCGAAATCCGCGTGGACCTCCGAGAGTTTTGTGGCTATGCCGCTGGTCGTTCCTCTGTCAGTTCCGGCCGAGGAGGGGGATCGAGTGAAGAAGCGCCTTGATCATGACCTTCGTCATCGCCTCTTCCTCCTCCTCGAGGAGGAAAAGGAGGAGGAGGACGAGGGAGGTCGATGACGATGACGGCGGCACCCTGCCGCGCCAGGTGGCCCTCGCTCCGTGCCCCGCCTTCTGCCCGCCCCCCGCCCCTCCTCCTCCGCGTCGCTGTGCGTCGTCGCGCAGCACGAGGCGGGCTTGCAGTGTGCAGCGGCGGCGGCGCGTGTGCGCGCGCGGTGGCTCGGGCCGGGCGAAAGGGGGGGATTGGGAAAGGGGGGGTTACGAAATTTGCTGCATGCAGCTGGCTTCGGCCTCACCGAGGGGCCCATTCCTCGATACATAGCCGCCTCCGGCGCCGGGAGGCGCCGGGAAAATCAGCTACGTGAGCTGATTCTCAAACTCCCCCTTTTCTATCCCCCCCTTTCGCCCGACCCGAGAGGGGGTGTCCCAGCCCAGGGACAGACGCCAGATCGGGCAGCGGCCTGCGCGGCGTCACGGCCGCCAGCGCAATCGCGGGCGCAGATGCTGCAAGTCTTCCGTCTCTGCTGGGTGCGCGACCGCTGCGGCTGCATCTTGGCATCGCTCGGACGTGCGCACTGTGCCCTCGGCGAGCACCATCGAGGAGCATCCTGGATCATCTGGCGACAAAAGAACGCACGCGCGAAACCGAATAATGCACGGGGAATGGATGTCCGAGCGATGGCAAGGCATCGTCATGTTCGGTAGCAAATTATGGGAGCCCGTGAACCGCCTTCATTCGGTCGCTTGCGCCGACTAGCGCCGAGTAAGCGTATGGTAACCGATGAGACAGCGCCGTCTCAGCGTCGACCGGCGTCGGCTAGAGTCGATTCGCGTCGATTTAGCGTCGACTAGCGTCGGCTAGCGTCGATTAGCGTCGAGTGCCGTCGGCCAACAAGGTGGTCGCCACCGAAGTGACGCACCAATTTCGAATACCAAGAGGCGCTGTTTGAGCGTCTCGCGTTACACCGGGCTAGCGGGCCCGCGCGCCCCTCCCCCCAGATAAGCTGACCTTGTCGGCCGCGCAGGTCCGACGGGGGTGCGCAATACCGATGCGCGCGGGCATGCATGGGGTTGCCCAAGGCGAAAAGTGTAGGTTATCGGCCGGCACCTCCCCCACCCCCCACCCCCCCCCCATCCGCATAGCCTGGTCTGGCGCCGAACAATCGAGGGCGGTCTCCCGAACTCGGCACAAGCACTCCTCTTCGGAGCTCCGCGCGGAGTTCTCGGATGGGCGCTGGGCCCCCCTGGCGACGCCTCCGGCGGCTCTGGCGCCGCCCCCAACGCGCTCCGCGCGCCAGCGAGGGGGTCCGACGCCGATCGAAGAAGTCCACGCGGACCTCCGAAAGGTGATGCGTCTCCCTCTCAGGTAAGTAGTTGGTCTACCGGGGACGCCTACGGCGAATCACCGCCGCCCTTGCCTTTTTGGGAAGCGCCTCTGTGGCCAATCGCTTGGCGAGAGCTTGCTGAGGCCTCCCAGAGGCTTCTCGGGGGCCTCATTGGGCTTTCTTAGTCGCCATAGGGGGGTTCCTGGCCCGTCTGACGCCGTCGGAGACTGTCTTGCGGGCCACTCTGACTCGACTTTGGTGGGCCCTCTTGGGGCGCTTCTTGGCCCTCTTGGGGCCGTCTTGGGGGCCTCTTGGTGGAGAGCACTTGGAGGCCTCTTGGGCGATCTTGGGGGCCTCGCGGGCCATCTTGGGCCGTCGGATGGCCGACAAGACGCACATGCCCAAACACTTCAAAAGCCTTAAGGACCTATAGGATTTAGGGCTCTTCGGGCCTTCCAAGAGGACCCTTTGGGGGCACTCTTGGGCCGTCCTGGAGGCCTCTTGGGCCCTCTTGGACCATCTCGAGGCCATCTTGGGCCATCTTGGGTGCATCTCGGGCCGTCTTGGAGACATCGTGGGGCCATCTTGGGCTCTATTGGGGGCATCGGCGGATGCATCGGCCCATCCCGCCACCGAGCTTTGGTTTAAGTCGGGCCCGTCCTTCTACGGGAGGAATATACAAAAACAGTCAAAAAATATTCTAGGGATTATTTTTGAAGTATTTTTTGACCGTTTAGGAGTATGTTTGAACCTTTTTTTATTTTTCGTCGAAAATCCCCCTGTAGGGGGACAGGCCCGACTTAAGCTTTGGTCCGCTGCCTCGGCGGCCCGAGGCCCTCTCCGAGTGTCTCGACAGGCCTCCTGGGGCCCTCTTCGGGCCCGCCTCTGGGCCGTCCCGGGGCCCGAAGAGCTCCCCGGGAAGACGCCCTGGATGCGCCGGGAGCCCCGGGAGGTTTGAGAGCGTGGGGTCTGGGCCCCGCGAAAGATCCTTCCTCAGGATTGAGGCCTGAGGCTCAGGAGGTTGAGCAAGAAGTTCGAGGACACGCCAGCTCGTGCCTCGCGGGTATCAACTGGCCACGCAGTCGTCGTGGAAGCTTTCGACGCGTCCCCTGGCCGGAACCCTCGATTGGAGGACAATTCGTGGATACATTGTTTTCGCGAGATGTATGTGTCTGATGAGCAAATGACCGGGCGTGTCCCCCTACAGGGGGATTGTGGGCGACAAAAAAAAGAAACCCAAAACAGATGCAAAGAACATAACAAAAATGATAACAACTCGTCCCCTGACTATTTCTTTTACTATTTTTGAACATGCCTCATGTAGAGGGACAGGCCCGGCTCAAAACTAACCCTCAGGCATTGCAAGGGGTGGCCCTGGCCCGATGTCCGGCGGCGAGCCGAGCGGGGGGCGTGGGATGGGGGAGACCTTCTCAGAGCGCGGCGGGGCTGCTCAGAAGGCCCTCGCGCCTGCTGAGAATGCCGCCCTTGATGGGCCTACTTTCCACCACCACCACCACCATAAGTTTGGGGGGAAGGAGGAGGAGGAGGAGGAGGAGGACCCCCTCCCCCTCCAACTTATGGTGGTGGTGGTGGTGGTTGAAAACAAGCCCATCAACCCTGTGGCTTCGGAGGAGGCAGGGAGAGCTTCTGATGAGGCCTGGAGCCTTCTGAGCTGTGCAAGAAGGTCCGCCCACTCTGCATTCCCCCCATGGGCGCGCCGCCAAGATGAACTCCAGTACTCCACGATGCGTTACATACCACACCCTCCCCGCCTCTTTCAGATTCCACCGCCCGGGGGCCACGTTCAGTCTACCCAAAAAAGCACGTCCCAGGGAGGGAGCTTCGTCTACCGGGCCCACGACCAGGACCCTCGCCCAACCATCAGGGCTTGTATGTTTCGTCTGCAGTTTTTCCGGGAGGATCCAGGAACTGTTCTTCCAGGGCTGCCCTGGGGGCTCCGAGGGGGCTCGCGCGGGGCTCCGAGGGAACGCCGTGGGCCTCTGACAGGGCACCTTCGGCGGCGACCGGGCGCCCCTGCGACGTGAGACTCGCCGTGAGCGCTGGGTGTCCTGAACGGACGGGCTCTGACTTTTGTCCGCCCTTCTCCAGGGCTTCCTCCGACTCCTCCGACTCGATTCCGACTCCGATTCCGAGTCCGATGCAATCTCGGGTTCCTTGTGGATCTGGGTCTCTCCGCGGAGGCCTCGTCAGCCTTCCGCTTGTCGCCGATTCCTCTCTTCCCAACTCGGTTGCTCCGCCGATCGCTTGTCGCTTTTCGCTGCAAGTCCGGCCACGCCCCCCGCACCCCTCAGAAGCCGCGCGGGCCCGGGGGGCGGGCGAGCGCGCGCCGGCGCGCCCTCATCAGCAGCCCGGGCAGTGGCGGGGCTGGGGGAGCCGAGGAGGAGGAAAGAGGGCGAGCTACTGACCCCAAGGCGCTGCGGCGAGGGGCACGCGGGACCGGCCTTTGGCGGCCCGCTACCTCCCGCAGCTGGGGGTAGCAAGGGGGGACTAGGGCGGGGCGGTGGGCCAGGGGAGGGGTGGGGGAAGGGGGAGGCAGGAGGGGAAGGGAGGCAAGAAGGGGCGAAATATCAGTATCTGCGCGTGGGGGGATCACAGTGATTGCACCCGATTTGGGAGGGAGGGATGGAGAGAGGGAGGGGGCCCACGTCTGCGAGGATACAAAACTGAGGACGCACGTCTTCACACGGGTGCTAGCAACGCTGGGTCCAAAGTGTGCCCTGTCGAGAAGCCAGAACATAGAAAAGAAAATTGCGAGGATGTCGTAGGCGAACTGGTCCTGACCACCAGATTTCGCGAGGAGAGAGGAAGAGGACGAGGCAGGGCACTGGGAGGGAGTCACGACAGCAAACATGTGTTTTTTTTCTCGAGGATGATTGTGGCTCTGAGTGTACTTCCATTTATTGTGGCGGATGACGCAAACAACTCATCGTGAGAACTCAATCAGATAGGTATGTCTGTCTTGGACGTTTAGCAATCAAATCCATTTATTTCCAATTCAATGGACTTTGTATCTTTATCTTGGGATCAAAGAAGTCAGCGTGTGTTTATCGATAACTGTATGTTCTTCGGACCTCCGTCAACATTACACGCCATCTACATTACACGTGAGAGAACGAAGTTAAATTGTTTAATACATTCAACAAATCATGGGTCATAACCGCTTCACAATAATGCGCTCCCTGACACGGCGGGATGTTTGATAGATGGACAGGCTCTGCAGTACCCCGTGTCAATGAGGTAGGCTCGGAG